TGTTACGGTGTGGGGTTATAAACACAGCCATTGTGAAGACACACAGTGCCAAAGAAGAGCTTTATGTGATCTTTTGAAAGCTTATATGAATGCAGGTATCGGAGGGGGAGGATGCCATCTCGCATTTCACCAAGAAGACAGAGTACTACCTGGATAGAGCAAAGCAGTCCCATTAGGCCAGTCTTACGTCTACTGTCAAGGACGAGTGTGCAATCCTCCTGTTCTAGTGATTCCAACATTGCCTCACTTGCAGAGAAGACCTCCTCTGTGCCATCGATGCACCCGTCTGAGGGAACAACTGGTTGCTTAAAACTTTTTCAGTGAACAGACCAGCTGTTGAGTATGTCAAAGAACAATGTGGACTGGCCAATAAATTTGAGGGTGTTTCCCCATTATTTAATGCCATTGTTATGTTTACATTGCTTCCACTGTATTTCTTAATAGCGCCCTCCTTTGACCGGTAATCTGAGAACCATGCTTTACACTCATCCATAGACAGTGGATTTCTCACAGTGAATTTGTGCATCATTTTCCGACATTTTCAGGGCACAAATTTTCCTCTCGCTCCTTGCTAACTGTATATAGCGCCTAGTGAAGCGTTGCCTGTAAGTTGATTCCAGTTATATTCCTTATGAAGAGGTGTTTCAAGTGGTTTAGAGGCCTTTGTAACATTCGGTTTTCATGTCAAATTTACCTTGTTTACACACGTATATACTCACATGTTGACATATAACAACATATAACACACCAAGCGATCCACGTGTTCATGGGGATGTGTGTGGCTATTTTCTGCACTTATAGGCCTGTTAAATAGACATATTTAGGGCTCTGTGAGCTCAGTATGCACATGTACTCGTTCGACTAGTTATTAGTATGAATCTCAATGTATTTTGAGACTAGAGATTCATGTGTAGTGTTTGTGTAGTAATACTGTAGTGCACGTATTCATAGCTTGTGTTTTCTTGTTTACTACGCAGTTTTACTCCATGTCAATGACATTATCATCCGGTGTGACCAAATATTAAAACACCGGAGCTACATGTGGAGCTATTCCCTGACTCCCACAGTAGTACTGTGGTGAGGGGAGAGAGACCTACCATAGGACACATCCGCACAAGTACCCCAATATCTGTACACAAGACGGATGTTGCCATCGTAGGCGACTCAAGTGCGGATACCACTGCAAAGAAAGAGGACAGCCCTGACAAGAGCTGCCCCATCCACCACAAGCCACACCCACTCAAGAGATGCAGAGGTTTTAGAGCCAAACCCATCGACGAACGGAGATCTTACCTCAAAGAGAATATCTGTTTCAAGTGTTGTGCATCCATGTCTCACCTCGCAAAGGACTGTAAGGTAGTAGTGAAATGCAACAAATGTGAGAGCAACCAGCACAACGCTGCTATGCACCCTGGTCCAGCCCTGTGGTTGCCAAAGGCCTCCCTTCCTACATCACAGCAAAGAGGGGAGAAAAACGCCGATTCTACCACAACACCTATTGCCAGTTCCCAATGCACTGAAGTATGTGGTAACAGTCTCACAGCGCGGTCCTGTTTCAAAATATGCCTGGTGAAAGTGTTCCCACAATGGCAGCCGGAAACAGCAGTAAGGATGTACGCCATACTCGACGACCAGAGCAACAGGTCGTTAGTGAGGGCAGATTTCTTTGACCTGTTCAACATAGAGAGCAGTCCGTCACCTTACTCTCTTAAAACCTCTGCAGGTGTCACCGAAATGACAGGGAGGCAAGCAGTCGGTTTTCAGATAAAAGCCTTCCTCTTCCTCCTCTCATTGAATCTAATGAGATACCAAACAACAGAGAGGAGATACCCACACCGGAAGCAGCCAAAAACCATCCCCATCTACAACCCGTGGCAGCCAACATCCAACACCTCGACCCAAATGCACTGATCCTTCTTATGCTCGGAAGAGATATCTTGAGAGTTCACAAGGTGCGTGCACAAGTCAATGGCCCACACAACGCTCCCTTTGCCCAGCGCCTCGATTTGGGCTGGGTGCTCATAGGAGAAGTTTGTCTCGGGAAAGCACATAAGCCAAGCGAGAACAGCTTCAAAACCAACCTGCTAGAAAAGGCACGGCCATCCTTCCTCACTCCATGTCCAAACCATATTCATCTTCAAGAGAAGATACACTACAGCGGGGAGCAGCAGAGCGGTTTATCTCAAGCGTACAATAGAAAGCACGCCGGGAAAGCACTACACAAGGATCCCGGGCAAGACGTGTTCCACACCAGCTGTGATAACAACAAGCCTGCCCTCTCCATAGAAGACACAATTTAATTTCCTTGAGACCATGGACAAAGAGGTATACATGGACGATGCTAACAGCTGGGTGGCACCTCTCCCATTCAGGACATGGAGATGTAGCCTACCCAACAACCGCGANGATCTCACACCAGATGCAGTGAACTTCTATTGTGACAGTAAGGTTGTCCTCAGGTACATATACAATGAAACCAAACGTTTCTATGTGTATGTACACAACAGAGTTCAGCGCATCCGCCAGTCAACGCAACCTGATCAGTGGCATTACGTTCCTACGGAACACAACCCTGCTGATCATGCTTCGAGAGCACTTCCAGCATCTCAGCTCACCAGCACATCGTGGTTCACGGGACCGACTTTCCTGCGTAAATCCACCCAGATCCACGAAAACCAGATTCATTTCGAACTGGTCGACCCCAAATCTGACACGGACATCCGACCAGAAGTAAAGAGTTTCATCACCCAAGCAGAGGCGAGACAGCTTACCCCGCAACGGTTCGAGCACTTTTCCACCTGGAACTCACTCTTAAGGGGCATTGCATGCCTCATTCATGTCACTCGCTCATTTAAGAAGGAATTGGGAAGCGAGACCAATAAATGTGCCGGCTGGCGTCAGTGCAGTAAACCTCGCACCCCAGATGAGCTTGCTCAAAATTCCCTCTTGGGAAACACTGCCAAATACGATTCATATGTTTCAGATTTGTGCATCCTTTTCTGGAAAAACAGTGCCTCTTTGACATTCTATTGTTGTTTTACTAATGATCAAGTTCAATTATACCTTTTTTAAACAGGTCGCTGCCCTAGTAATAGATAGCATGCAGCTTAGAGCTCGGCAAAGTTCCCTTCTCTGTTTTGCCACAGAGAAGGGAAACACACCAAATTTCTTCACTTGTACATTTACAGTATGAATGTTTGAGACAACATAAGCCGTGTTACATGTATTCCGGCATGCACTCACTTGCCTCGCCTCCCTGCGTCGGAGCTTCAATAAGAAGCCTGATATGAAGGAGCAGTTTATTGCCTTAATGAAGAAGATATTCGACAAAGACCATGCCGAGCTAGCACCCCACTCAAGGCTGGAGAAGAGTGTTGGTATCTGCTGACATTTGGCGTCTACCATCCACAAAAACCAGGCCAAATATGGGTCATGTTTGACTCAAGCGCTCAACACGATGGTGTCTCCCTAATAACGTCCTGCTCACCGGCCCAGACCTAAACAATAGCCTCCTTGGAGTTCTACTGCGTTTCAGGAAAGAACCAGTAGCAATGACTGCAGACATCCAGCAGATGTTCCACTGCTTCATTGTGCGAGAGGACCACAGAAACTACTTAAGGTTCCTGTGGTATGGAGACAACGACACATCCAAGGACATCGTCGAGTACAGAATGAGAGTTCGTGTCTTTGGTAACAGTCCATCTCCTGCAGTGGCCATCTACGGTCTCCATCGAGCAGCCAGAGAAGGTGAACACGACTATGGTGAAGACACGAGAGAGTTCGTCACGAGACATTTCTACGTCGACGATGGACTCAAGTCCCTACCCACAGCTACAGAAGCTATTGACTTGCTACAGAGGACTCAAGCATCGCTGGCAGAATCTAATCTACGTTTACACAAGATCGCCTCAAACAGCGGTGCCGTGATGGAGGCATTTCCCACCAACGATCACGCCACAAGCATGAAGGACTTTGGCCTCGGAGGTGATGCCGAATACATTCAAAGGAGTCTCGGACTGTTTTGGGCAACAACAACAGATACTTTCACATTCAAGGTTTCAGCCGCTGATAAGCCCTTCACATGGCGTGGGGCCCTTCAACGGTGAACAGCCTCTGTGATCCTCTCGGCTTAGTAGCTTCAATCACCATACAAGGCGGAGCTCTTTTGCGAGAACTGACTACTGAAGCTTGTAGCTGGGACAAGCCACTTCCTGAAGAGAAGCTGAAGGAATTGGAAGCATGGAGGGACTCACTGCAAGAGCTGAAGAACCTTCACATCCCTCGAACCTACACTTCAAAGTCGCTTACCAAGATGAGACGCACCGAGTTGTGTGTGTTTTCAGATGCATCCACCAAAGCCATTGCAGCAGTTGCCTACCTCAGGACCCTCGACAACGATGGACTCATCGAAGTGGGCTTCATCCTTGGTAAAGCAAAACTTGCCCCACGATCTCAACCCACCACACCACGACTTGAGCTGTGTGCTGCAGTTTTGGCTGTTGAGATAGTAGAACTCATCCTGAATGAAATCGATCTCACACCAGATGCAGTGAACTTCTATTGTGACAGTAAGGTTGTCCTCAGGTACATATACAATGAAACCAAACGTTTCTATGTGTATGTACACAACAGAGTTCAGCGCATCCGCCAGTCAACGCAACCTGATCAGTGGCATTACGTTCCTACGGAACACAACCCTGCTGATCATGCTTCGAGAGCACTTCCAGCATCTCAGCTCACCAGCACATCGTGGTTCACGGGACCGACTTTCCTGTGTAAATCCACCCAGATCCACGAAAACCAGATTCATTTCGAACTGGTCGACCCCAAATCTGACGCGGACATCCGACCAGAAGTAAAGAGTTTCATCACCCAAGCAGAGGTGAGACAGCTTACCCCGCAACGGTTCGAGCACTTTTCCACCTGGAACTCACTCTTAAGGGGCATTGCATGCCTCATTCATGTCGCTCGCTCATTTAAGAAGGAATTGGGAAGCGAGACCAATAAATGTGCCGGCTGGCATCAGTGCAGTAAACCTCGCACCCCAGATGAGCTTGCTCAAGCTGAGAGCATCATCATCTCAGTCCAAAGAGAGGTTTACCCTAACGAGATCACTGCCTTGAAGAAGAAAGGAGACGTCCCAGGCAGGAGTTCACTCTCAGAGCTTAACCCAATGCTGCAAGAAGAGATCACTAAAGTTGGAGGACGTCTCAGACATGCCCAGCTGGACAGAGGTGAGAAAAACCCCACCATCGTGCCTGGCTACAATCATGTAGCCAAACTACTAGTGCGGCACTACCACGAGCAAGTATAACACCAAGGCTGCCACTTCACCGCAGGAGCCATCAGAGCATCAAGCCTTTGGATCGTCGGTGGTAAGAGACTCATCAGCTCTGTCCTACACAAATGTGTAACCTGTAAGAAGCTCCGTGGCAAAACTGAGGAACAGCAGATGGCAGATTTACCGGCCGAGCGACTTAGCACCTTGCCGCCTTTCTCGTACGTAGGTTTAGACGTATCCAGACCTTGGATGGTCGTCATGCGTCGCACCAGAGGAGGCCAGGCCAACAACAAGTGCTGGGCAATCCTGTTCACCTGCATGAGTACTAGAGCGGTGCACATTAAAGTCATCGAGTCCATGGACGCTTCGAGCTGCATCAATGCACTCAATAGGTTCTTTACCATCCGCAGACCAGCTAAACAGCTGAGATCGGACTGCGGAACAAACTTCATCCGAGCTTCCAACGAGCTGAAACTTGATAAGAACGGCAGCAGGGTATTGGAGTCCAGCGCTACCTCGCTGAACAAGGTTGTACTTGGGTATTCAATCCGCCCCACTCTTCACACATGGGAGGTGCATGGGAACGGATGATCGGAGTAGCACGAAGAATTCTCGACTCCATGCTGCTGCAGAGAAAACCTCTTAACCTGACACCCGAAGTTCTATGTATGTTCATGGCCAAAGTAACAGCCATCATCAATGCCAGACCTCTTGTTCCAGTCTCTATCGATCCTCAGTCACCATACATCTTGACACCAGCAATCCTGCTCACCCAGAAAGTTGGCACCCCAGCTCCTCCCGGACACTTTGACACTAAAGACCTCTTCAAGAGCCAGTGGAGACAAGTGCAGAGTCTTGCGAGCACATTCTGGTCTTGTTGGCGACGCAAGTACCTCCCTATACTCGAAAGCTGAAAGAAGTGGAAAGAGAGTCGTCGCAACCTCAAAGCAGGGGATATCACTCTCTTGAAGGACAAACAACTGGCGCGGAATGAGTGGCCAATAGGACTCATCACCACTGCAACCATGAGCGACGACTGTAGAGTCCACATCGTCGAGGTTAAGGTGGCCGCTGCAGGAGGTACTATCAAGCCGTTCAAGCGACCCATTTCAGAGGTTGTACTGCTTCTGCCTAAAGAGGACTAGAAACTGTAAGGTCATTCAGTGACATCTTAACGATGCCAAGCGGGTAGTGTTATGTTATTGCTTCCACTTGCCCTCCTTTGACCGGTAATCTGAGAACCATGCTTTACACTCATCCATAGACAATGGATTTCTCACAGTGAATTTGTGCATCATTTTCCGACATTTTCAGGGCACAAATTTTCCTCTCGCTCCTTGCTAACTGTATATAGCGCCTAGTGAAGCATTGCCTGTAAGTTGATTCCAGTTTATTCCTTGTCAAGAGGTGTTTCAAGTAGTTTAGAGGCCTTTATAACATTCGGTTTTCATGTCAAGTTTACCTTGTTTACACACGTATATACTCACATGTTGACATATAACAACATATAACACACCAAGCGATCCACGTGTTCATGGGGATGTGTGTGGCTATTTTCTGCACTTATAGGCCTGTTAAATAGACATATTTAGGGCTCTGTGAGCTCAGTATGCACAAGTACTCGTTCGACTAGTTATTAGTATGAATCTCAATGTATTTTGAGACTAGAGATTCATACATGTGTAATGTTTGTGTAGTAATACTGTAGTGCACGTATTCATAGCTTGTGTTTTCTTGTTTACTATGCAGTTTTACTCCATGTCAATGACATTGTCATCCAGTGTGACCAAATATTAAAACACCGGAGCTACATGTGGAGCTATTCCCTGACTCCCATTTCGTCAGTGATAGGAGTTTGGCTGGCTGCCAAATTGAGATTAGAAAACATCTTAAGGAGGGCAGTGCAGCCATTGTACACAATTTTGGACCCACTCCAGTCATTTTGTGCAGAATTGCTATGATGGTCTTTCAGTAGTGCTGGCCCTGCATCAGGAAGTCAAATGAAGTTGTATACTAAACAGAAAACAGAGACAATCCATAGACATCAATTCACAAAGAAAACCTCAGTACATTGCACTTGGGTGTTGTTTCCTTTTATTGAAGTCTTGACAACCAAAATTTGCATACTTCACAATGTTTAATGGCAAGATGTTTAAAGGCGCTTCAAGAAATACTGAAATGTATTAGAAACGTATAGGTTTGTAGATTTTCTTCCAAAATCAAAAGCTCTGGCAAAGTTTTTCTTACTTTGAGAAGCACTTTTGACTAACTTTGATGTTGTGCATTTAGGTTAACATAGGCCTACATGTGTGCATGTGGCCACAAAGCCAGGGAGATTATTTTTAACTAGCATACAATTTTATACAGCATGTCCTCCATTATGCAACCCGAATGTGACATTAAAGGTGCACACTTAAAGGCCCTATATCTCCTGAAGTACATATCCGATCGGCTTCAAATCTGTCAGATTTCTTGAAGAGGGAGCGCTTCAGGGGTATATTGACCTTGCCTGATGATGACGACGTCATCAGGAGACCAGTCACAAAGGTGCATCCTTTAAAGCCCTGTTTCTCCCAAAGGACATGGCCCAGCGTGTTGAAAGTTAGCAGATATCTGGAAGAGGATGTGTGATAGATGAAAACTGTCCTCATGGGATGATAATGTCATCAGTGGACAAGTCCCGTGACATTAAGGGTGTATCCTTTAAAGCCTTTTATCTCCAAAAGTACATGTCCCAGAGGGATGAAACTTTGCAGATATGCAATCACGGCGATGGCCTTTTCAATGAAAAGCGGAAAAGCCCTATGTTCTGTTGCAAACAGACATAGAACCTCTCGTTTATTTCTTCTTTCACATCAAATCCCATTCCTTAACATGGGTTTTCGTTCTGAGCAGGACTTCTACCCTTTTTTAAATTTTCGATTGACTTTAAACTTGGCAGGTCTTTGGACATTCATACACGTTTTCAAGGCACAATTTTGAAACTTTTGCGATGTTTGATCGTTATCAAAGCGACACCCAACAAAGACCCTGATACAAGAATTACTGTTAGTGAATGAAGTCAAGATGACGTGATTTGGTAGTGATTTTTCAATGTTTAATTTAGCCTGTTGACTTTGTACACGTTTTTAAGCCAGCATTTGGGTTAGTTTGAGAAGTTTGATCAACTTCAAAGTTACAGACAACAAAGACCCTGATGAAAGAATTTTGCTTAACTGATGCCCTAACGATGACGTCATCACCTATTTTTAAAATAATTTTTGGATATTTAATCTCCCCCATAAGTTTTGTTCACGTTTTTTGTCAGCCTGTCCTTGGAACTTTGGTCAATCTGAATCTCGAAAAGAAAAATCGTCAAAATAACATCATCAGGGGCTCACGTGACAGGAGATTGAAGCTGCAGTTTTCCCCGTAGGGTTTGTACACGTTTTTTACTACGCAATATTATCGATCTTAATGAGGGTAGTCCTAAACTTCAGCTGAGCATTACTATGAGAATGAAAAAAAATCGTATTTTTTTCGTCTTCATTTGATTACATGTACACCCAAGAGTCTGAATATGAAATAATATTTCAGAATTTTCTTTCAGTTTAAACGCAAATCACATGACATTATAAAGAGCAGCTTTTCCCCATAGGTGTCTTCAGTCCATTTACTTGTACAAATTTTCAAGCCACTTTTGGAAACCTTCGCGATGTTTGATCGCTATGAAAGTGATATCAAACAAAGACCCTTGTGCAAGAATTCTTCAAAAGAAATGACGTCATCATGACGTCATCATGTAATTTACTAGTGATTTTTTAATATTTATTTCAGTCCCTTGACTTTGTACACATTTTCAAGCCACCATTTGGACAATTATCAGAGGTTGGATCAACATTAAAGCTACACGCAACAAAGACCCTCATGAAAGAATTTTCCAAAAGTTATCACCAAACAGAAAGTTCCGAAACAGCTCAGTGAATGTTCACAACCACGTTCATCTCATTTACTCTTGAATTCGTACATAAATTCTTTCTACGTGTATCTGTATATGTAGTTACATCTACTTGTGTCCTGTTGCATTAATCCACATGTGCATAGATACATTTTACCTAGAGTAGACTTGTCCTAGTCCTTAGACTTCCTGCATTTCCAACATTTGCTGCATATTGTTATGCAACTTACTGATTTTATTCCTTGTGACTTAAAACATCCTGTATCTGTTTGTTCACAGTTTTGCATCGTTTTTCATTGAACGGCTCCAGTCAAGGGGCCCTCTTGGAAAGATGTTTAAGCCTCTGCATATTTGTGTATGCTCATCAGAGTGAGGGCAGAAGAGTAAGTTTTATTCAGGCTTTGCATCCTTCAATTTTTTGTGGAAGAGTCTTTCAGGACAATTCGACACATAAAATCAAAAGACAAAATAACGGCAATTTACCGCGAACTAACGATGGTCGTGTATCTGCATGTGCAGTGGGCGTGTTTAAACTGAAGTGGCGTCACACTTACGAACCGGATACTGCATGTACTATGTCGACTCCGCAGGCGTGCGCGACGAAGTTCAACACAGAGAGCCTCGGTTTCGATGCATATATGCACAGACGGTGGTAGTGTGAAATCCCTCTGTAGGCACACACGTTGCGTGAAGTGGTTTATAGTACATATAATAGTTTATATTACGCATACCCCAAGGTAGGGTTTGTCGTCTGCCGCGCATATTCCCCAGCGATTCAGCCAGGTACAGTTATTTTGAAAGATTGATTCACAGTGAATATTGTTCTCTCTCACATAAAACCAAAAACACGTTAAAATTACGAAGTAGCATGATTCCAGTCGATTAAACAAGTTTGGACATCGTTTTATACCAAAATAATTTAACAAATATTTTGCTAATGCGCAGGTCTACGGTGACGCGCGCAACGACCTCAAAGCGGAGACTTCTTTTTCTTTTTTTGGGGGGGGGGTTAAGCATAACTTTTGATGGGATGACAGGATTTTTGCTGGGGGCCTTACAACATGTAATTGTCGCCGTTTGTGAAGCCATTTAAATCTCTCAGTTTTTTCCTTAGACTTTTACAGATTTTAAGGTGTTTCCAAGGTTTAGACGTAGGTCCCAATATAAAAAAGAGGAAATAATAATTATAGTAATAAATGTTAAATGGTAATAAGAGGGAGTCACCCCAACCCCACTCTGTGGGTCGGTGCCATGCACCTTCTCGTGCATTAGTACCTTTTCAGTCAAAGACTCAAGACAAGTCAATATATGAGGGATCATTTCCATCGATTTTGTTCTATAATTTTATTTTACTTTTCCCGAACACCCCCGTCCATTTTATGAAATATTTCCTGTGCAAATTGTCCAAAAGATCAAGAATCCATGGACTTGGCGCGCAAGTGGCAACGGGCATGCACACAGATTCTTGGGTCTTGAACAATCGGAATGGATTAAACTGTCTTCTATCCATTGATCTCCATTATAGACTGGATAGGACATCGCGCATTGCCTGTGCACAAAATGCGCGGCCGAACAATGGCGGCGCTTGAGGAGGGTAATGTCATGTTGTATGTTGTGCATTTCTGGTCAACATAGCCTTTTTCTTATGGGACGA